ACATACATATGTAAATATAATACCTTGCTTTATATCTTGTTAATTTGTAAATTCAATTTCAGCTCGGCTTTTAACACACTGCAGCCTCACATCTTGCTTCAAAAACTGATAAAGATCAATATAAATCCTTTCATCTTGAAATGGTATTTTTCGTTTTTAACCAATCGCACTCAGCATGTCAGGGTCAACAATGCCCTCTCAGAGCCCCGGACCATCAGTACAGGAGCCCCCCAGGGTTGTGTGAGCTCCCCGGTCCTGTTCACACTGTACACAAACGACTGTACAAGAGCCCACCCGGATAATTATATCATCAAATTCTCTGATGATACAGCTATCCTTGGCTTAATGCACAAGGGCAGCAGTTCATCGGCTTATCACTCTGAAATAGAGAGATTTGTGCAGTGGTGTGATTCTAGCCATCTAGTGCTGAATGTGAAGAAGACTGAGGAGATGGTGTGGGACCCAAAGGCAGTGGGTGACCTTAGCCCGGTGGTTATCCACAATGAACCCATAACTCAGGTCAGCTCCTATAAGTACCTTGGTGTGCATCTAGATAATACACTCAGCTGGAAGGCGCATGTTCAAGGTCTGTGCTCTAGACTTCAACAGCGATTGTACTTTCTGCGTCGACTCCGGGCTTTCGGAGTCGCCCAGAAGTTCATGTTACTGTTTTATCATGCAGTATTGGAGAGCATCATTAGGTATGGTATCACTGCCTGGTATGGTAACTTGACAGTGCAGTCAAAGTCACAGATCACTCGCCTGGTACAGACGGCTATGAAAATTATGGGGGTTAAAAAACACCCATCTCTCCAAAACATATACGAGCAGTCCATTATCAGACAGGCAAACAAAATAGTGTCTGATCCCACCCACATACTCCACTCATTATTCCAGCTCCTACCTTCTGGTAGAAGATTCAGGGTTCCCAAGAGCAGGCTGAACCGCTATAAGCACTCATTCCTACCAATGTCCGTTAAGCTTCTTAACATTGACAGGAAATGAAATGTAGTCGAAGTCAAATGTAATGAAATGTACTTTTTTTTTTTTAAATGTTGGCCATGAGGGTTGTGCAATAGGTCGCCATTGTCAGTATGTGCGTCTGCGTGTATTGTGTTTGTTCAAACGGTGTATGATTGATGATATGTGTATGTCTCTTAAATGTCCACTATGTTTGTATATTATGTACATGTATGCGGAACTGCTGGACGGAGCCCAGAACGAATTTCCTTACGGGGACAATAAAGTATATCGTATCGTATCGTAATATGTATACTTTCTAGTTTATTTCTTGTCTTTTAAATGTTTTATTGTACAATGCCTTTTTATGCTGCTGCAACACAAACATTTCCCAAATTGGGATCAATCAAGTTCTATCTTATCTTTAAGGCAAGATGTCATGGGTTCCCACACCTTCTTTAACATAAAGTCAAGACGTTTCAAGGCCCAATTCCTTCAAATTCAAGGTACCCAACCATAGACTGTATATATAAAGGACCCAACATGTCATAGTTTCAGACACAGATAAGGGTGTTATATCCGTAATCTAAAACTTTCAGGCTTAGATTTTTTCCTTGAAGAACTTCAGGGACCCGTAGGAACAATGGATTACTCTCAGCGTGCAACTTTACAAAAGAAGTCACCTGGAAAAAACTCCACGAAAACCTCTTGCAGGAGCTGAACCAGCAACTCTCGGGCTTTCTTTTCATTGTCTCCCAGCTGAAATCGCTCTACAACGTACTGCATCTGTGCATCCACCTACAGAGAATAAAGAACACTTTGATGACACATATGCAATATAATAAACTGTAGTTCTCTTGAGTTAATAAGAATTATGTGGAGTCCAAAAACAGTATTTGACTGATGATTGTAGGTGCACTTGCATCATTTCCTGTTTAAATATGAGGGTTCTGTATACAATGTTCCCAACATGGTTAAAACTTTCAAAAGTCACCACTAGAAGCTTCTAGATGCTGTCACACTCCTTACAATCATGTTTATTTGCCATCCACATAGACCCCTTCACGCTTTATACTTGATGCAGGACACTTACAGATGCCAACTGACACAGCTGGGGTTTGAGACGGTCGAGAGACTGTTGGAGGTTCTCCGACCCGGCCTTCTTGGGAATCAGCTTGAAATCCTTCTTCTCCCGAGGTTTGACTCGCAGTTTCAAGCCTTTCATCCGATGCTCGAGGCAGGACAGCGTGGCCTGTGTGCTGTCGGCCTCAGTGAACTGCACGATGGCGAACACACCCTGTGAGCGCAGAGAGACATCACAGTCAGACTATATCAGGGAATTGAATGTCAGAGTGAAATTCTGTGGAACATCCAACCCAAAACTAAAATAGCCTTGGTTACGGTGAGGCTGTATGTAGGTATCATTTAGTATGAACTGCATCTCATCATGAACACCTGACTAACCTTGGATTTATCCATGATAACATCTGAGACCTGGCCGAACTTCTGGAAGTACTCAGTGATGTCAGTCTGAGAGATGTCAGGCTTGATGCCGCTGACGAACACACTGCACTCCCCCTGGGCCTTCCTGGTCTCCTTCACTGCGCTCAGAGTCATGTGTTTGCGCCCTTTCACATGCTGACCCAGGCTTGGCACTGCAGGAAGAAGAAACAAAATCAACAACATAGCCAGGCTTAATGTCATTACTTTTACTTGAGTAACATTTTGAATACAGGACTTCTCTCTGGTACTTCTACTTTTACTAAAGTACAAGATCTGAGTACTTCTACAACCCCTGTATATAGCACATAGATATAGTCCAACATTAGCTAACAGTATCAATTAATGTCATTCATTTTACATTTATGAGACAATGATGTTATTCTATTCCACTCCCTTCACAGCTTAAAGTTAGCTGGGATTATTTGTAAACACCTGTTTAGGAGCTACAGTTAAAATGTATGTCGTGGCTTGCAAAAAACAGCAATAATGAAATCATATATAGGAAGTTGAATGTAGCTAAGTTAGCTTTAGATACTTACAGTTAGGTAAATTGACATTGCATAAGATGCAGAGAAACCCTTTTGGCGTCACTTTTATGTTCGGGTTTGCTTCCATGGTGGTAAAAAGTTAAATGTAGCGATAAAGCGAGAAATATATTAACAATTAAAGTCTCCAGTGAGCCAAGGTTCGGAACGACAGCTCTCCATGCGCCTCTCAAATCTCCCTCCAGCGCAGCCTCTGCGTTTGTATCTGGTGCGTCTCTCAAATCTGTCCGGGTGTGTGCTCCCGTTTTATAATCCGTTTCCGGTTTTACATTTGCGCGGCAAAGCCTGAAATAGATTCTGCATTTATTTTTTGGATAATTATCACTTGTTTTGTATTTTAAATAATATTGATGTTATTTATTGCGAATGTATGAGTCGAAGTTATCAGCACAAACATATCCTATCGTTTATTTCTTAAATAGCATTTGAACATCAGCAAGCCTTTTAAAGATCATAGAAATGTATACGTTTTCAATTTCAAAGAAGAGCTTGTAATGTTTTAAACTTCATACTACACAGAAAAACATTTTAAAATGCTGTTTTGGGCAAAGGCATGTCGGTACATTCATTATGACTTGATCTTGGTTAGAAGCTAGTCTTTTTTTAGTTTTTAAAGCTCCATTTAGCATTTACCAATTTACACTCCCTTCACTCTTAACCTAAGAATGTCATATTTGTAGTGCTGTGAATAAAACCCATGTTGTTTTTGCTCTTGCCTCTGCTTATTAAGTCAAACCTGCACCAGAAAATATAAAAGCGATTTATTTTCAGTCTTCATGGCAGTTTGTTCAAAATTCAGAACAATAATGGACTAGAGCAGTATCTGTACCTCAAGCAGGATTCATAAAAGCTTCCAGTGCTTTTAAACTATTTGGTGAATTAGTATCCCGGTCTTTCTTACAAAATGGTATTCGAGTACCAGAATAATATTTGGACATAAAGACAGTTTTCATTCAAACCATTGATCAACATTTATTAACCTTTTTCGGCATACAAATATTTGCAGAAACCAGTGGTTAAAACAACATTCCCTGCTGTAATGAAAAGAAAGGCAGAGCTTTATTTTTAAAAATACTTTCTAAAATGCCATAGACTAATATAAAATGACAAAGTACAAAAAGACTTTAAAGGGAAAAAGGGTAATAAGGATTAAGAAAATGTACAAATGCTTTTATTTCTTAGCGACTCTTGCTCTGCGGGGTTTAGGCTGTGCTTCAGTCTCAACACTTTCGCCCTTGCTTGAAGTTTCGGCCTCGTCCGCCGTTTCAACAACGACCTTTGACACTCGCGTGGCTCTCTTGACGGGCACAGCTTCAACAACTTTGTCTGAGAGATCCTTCTCTTCAGTTTTGTCGGCATCCATTGACACAGTTTTGGTGCAGAGTTTTGACTTCCTAACTCGGACTGCCTTTACAGGTGTTGCCTTTGGAACCTCAAGGGCCTCCACGTCTGTGTTCCACTTGACGGATCTTTTGGTTGTTTTGGAGTCTTCCTGAACAGCGCTGCTGGAATCTTCAGTGGGATTAGCTGGCTCGCTGGTCACTGTGGCGGGCTTTGCTGCTGCCCGCCTCCCCTTTTTGACCGGCTCTACTGGAGCTGGTGCCGGCTCTGAAACTGTGGATTCTTCGCTCGTCTCCTCGAGGGTTGGAGCTGCACCTCGACGGGCTTTCTTCGCTGGAACGGCTTGGGCAACTTCTTTTTTCGCCCCCCCTTGATTTTCTGACCGGAGCTGGCTCTTCGTCACTTTTCTCTTCAGCCTCAGGTTCTACAGCAGCTTGTTTGCTCTTCTTTTTGGGTGTTTTTGAGTCTTCCTGAACAGCGCTGCTTGAATCTTCAGTGGGATTAGCTGGCTCGCTGGTCACTGTGGCGGGCTTTGCTGCTGCCCGCCTCCCCTTTTTGACTGGCTCAATTGGAGCCGGCTCTGAAACTGTGGATTCTTCGCTCGTCTCCTCGAGAGTTGGAGCTGCACCTCGACGGGCTTTCTTCGCTGGAACGGCTTGGGCAACTTCTTTTTTCGCCCCCCTTGATTTTCTGACTGGAGCTGGCTCTTCTTCACTCTTCTCTTCAGCCTCAGGTTCTGGCTTTTCCTCTGGTTCTACAGCAGCTTGTTTTCCCTTCCTTTTGGGTGTTTTGGAGTCTTCCTGAACAGCGCTGCTGGAATCTTCAGTGTGATTAGCTGGCTCGCTGGTCACTGTGGCGGGCTTTGTTGTTGCCCGCCTCCCCTTTTTGACCGGCTCTACTGGAGCTGGTGCCGGCTCTGAAACTGTGGATTCTTCGCTCGTCTCCTCGGGGGTTGGAGCTGCACCTCGACGGGCTTTCTTCACTGGAACGGCTTGGGCAACTTCTTTTTTCGCCCCTCTTGATTTTCTGACTGGAGCTGGCTCTTCTTCACTCTTCTCTTCAGCAGCTTGTTTTCCTTTTCTTTTGGGTGTTTTTGGGTCTTCCTGAACAGCGCTGCTTGAATCTTCAGTGGGATTAGCTGGCTCGTTGGTCACTGTGGCGGGCTTTGCTGCTGCCCGCCTCCCCTTTTTGACCGGCTCTACTGGAGCTGGTGCCGGCTCTGAAACTGTGGATTCTTCGCTCGTGTCCTCGAGGGTTGGAGCTGGACCTCGGCGGGTTTTCTTCACAGGAACGGCAACTTCTTTTTTCGCCCCCCTTGATTTTCTGACCGGAGCTGGCTCTTCTTCACTCTTCTCTTCAGCCTCAGGTTCTGGCTTTTCCTCTGGTTCTACAGCAGCTTGTTTTCCCTTCCTTTTGGGTGTTTTGGAGTCTTCCTGAACAGCGCTGCTTGAATCTTCAGTGGGATTAGCTGGCTCGCTGGTCACTGTGGCGGGCTTTGCTGCTGCCCGCCTCCCCTTTTTGACCGGCTCTACTGGAGCTGGTGCCGGCTCTGAAACTGTAGATTCTTCGCTCGTCTCCTCGAGGGTTGGAGCTGCACCTCGACGGGCTTTCTTCACTGGAACGGCTTGGGCAACTTCTTTTTTCGCCCCCCTTGATTTTCTGACCGGAGCTGGCCTCTTCGTCACTCTTCTCTTCAGCAGCTTGATTTCCCTTCCCGACACGTTTGAGCGAGTTTGTGGCACTGACGAGGGGAACCTCTTGGACCTCAGAAGCTTTTTTAACAGCGCTTCCTCGTTTAGGCTTAGGAGCAGCTTTGGTGGGAAGAGGCTCACTTTCCTCAACTGGGAGCTCAACATCTTGGCTTTCTTCAGACTTAGCATCTCTGCCTCTTTTTATTTGCTTGACAGCAGATGAGGCAGCTGCTTCAGTGTTCTTCACCCTTCTTCCTCTGGATGGTGTAGGGATGACAGGCTCTTCAGATTGTTCTACTGCTTCCTGTTGACCATCAGCTTCTTCAGGTTCAACCGTCTTGGTCCTTCTGCCTCGAACAGATTTTTTCTTCTGGTCAGGCTTTGAGGAAGCAGTGTCCATTTCTGTGACTATTTCAGAAGCAGTTTCCACTTTAGGTTCTTTGGATGCAGTCTCTTCTACGGTGTCTACTTTGGGTTTTTCTTCAGATACCTTCTCAACGGCATCTTCCATAGGTTGTTCTTCAGTAACCTTCTCATCTACTGTGACCACTTCTGGTTCTTCGGATACATCATCATCAACAGTCTCCATTTTGGGTTCTTCCACAGCTACAATCTCATCTACAGGGGCTTCAGAGACAGTTTTGGCGGCATCTGATGATTCAATATCGTCGACGACATCATTTGCATCTGCTTCAGAAATTAGACATGAAACACAATAGTGAAAAAACTGAAAAGTATTGTTGTATTAATAGCTATATAATTATTTGTAATTTCAACAATTTATTTTTGCTATGGTTCCTTTCTATTAGGTTTAGCATAACATAATATAGTTCAAGTACAAATTAATATAAGAACAATAATGGGATAAATATTAGTCAACATACCTTTCTCCATGTTAACTTCGGGAACATCCTTGACATCTGATGGCACATCATCTTGTGGCTCTTCGGGGACAAAGTGCAAAAACCACAAAAATATTCAGTCATTTATTGTAATGCGGCCTACATTCATGTCTTTGTTATTTATTTCTCCTTTTTCATATTGATCTCATCCAACTTAAGAACCAACTAACCTTTTGCTTTGACTTCACAACAAGTATAATCAACTGTATCATCCTGAGTGAAGTCTACAAGTTCCGCTGGGGCCACACTGCTCGCACTTAACATGTCGGTCGTTTCAGATGCCTCCTCAGATTCTTGCACCGGTGTCTCTTCAGTTTCCTCAACATCATCCACACGTGTGGCTTCTGCTTCTGGAGCTTTGGGAGTTTCCAGGACATTTTCTTGAAGGTCTTCGATGGGTTCAGCATCCTTTTGTGGGGTCTCACAAACCACCTCAACGACGGCCTCTTGTTGTTCAACCTTCTCATTGGGAGTTGTCAGCAGCTCCACCTTGATGTCCTCTACAGCTTCCTGTTTAGGAGTCGCCATCATCTGCTTCACTCCGGTGAGACAGTCTTCCTGTTGTTCACGCTTCTGCTTAGGAGTTTTCAGAATCTTCCCTCTCAGGTCTTCGATCGGCTCGGACTTCTGTTTTGGTGTCTTCTTGATCCTCTTCACTCCGGTGAGACACTCTGGTAGTTCTGGCTTCTGTTTGGGAGTTGTTGCGGAGGTCTTCAGATCTGTGCACTGCTGCTCGCTGGAGACGGGCAATTCACTGATGCAGCTAGACTCTTCATCTTCATCATTGAGGAGGCGCTGCACTGCTTCACTGTTGTAGCTTCTGCCTTTCACTGAAGACGACACGGTCAGTGGAGACACCATCATCTCACCTGGAGAATAAGTCACATTAAAAACATGTTACTTAATGGGTTAATCTGTAAAACTCTTTAGCCTTAGGCAATACAGTGGTGCAGAAATGGGTTCTAAAACTTGAAATCTGTTAGCATTTCCAGGTTCCCTAATCGTTTTTTTACCGTATTTTGTTAGATGCCGGAATTAAAAAGGTAGGGTAGGTAAGAATGGAGAAACCAGCTCGAGTGCGCTAGAATTTGAAAGTACACAACCGGGAAAAATCTGCCCCTTCCTTCAGACTTCCTTACAGAGCCCCTCCTCCAACACACACATGACCAATGAGGGCACGAGATGAGTTTGTGCCCAGATGGAAGGCTGACAGGCAGGTAGGCCATCCAGTTATTTTAGCCGGCTCAGATCATTGGTCGTGCTTTTTACAGCACCACGGCTTCCACAGATGAATTTTTTTTAATGTATTTATTGTCAAAGCATTTAATGTATTCATTGCTATCGGGATGTTAAGAGCATTCCATGGAATATAACAAAAAGTGTTTCTGAAGTGAATTACCTACCCCACCTTTAAGATCTGTTAAAAACATGCGTAGGACATTTTTTTACATTTTATTCTACATCAGTAAACACCTGTGAATGTATGAAGTTTCTACATTTCTTAAACAGGCAGTTGCCAACAACACCACTCAATAAATAAAAGTCAATCTTTATCTTGGCGTGTTGATGTGAAATCGAGCACCTGTGATGTAGTGTGTTTATAGCCCTACCATAGCTTTTGTTTGTTGGCGATTTAATTTATTCTTGAAGTGCTGAACATCAAAATAAGTATCATAGACTTGTGTTTGCCACAGATTTAATACAAATGTCATGCTTTGACTCCTATATACAAACAGCACACACACTGTACCTGATTCCTCTGGTGTGTTCAGCACTGATGGTTCAACCACAGATGCTCCCACTGGAGTCTTTAGGGCGTTGTTCTCATTGATTACAGATCTCTTCTTCACCGCAGGGGTTTTTAACATTTCAGAAATTCCTGAAAACACAAAAGTACAATATTGAATTCCAACGTACATTACCAAAAACAAGAGTTTGAATTTATTAGGATGTAAAAAGGGGGAAATTACCAGTGAAGTCCTCGTCCATTTTCATGTTCTTTTTAAGGAGTGCAAGATTAGGGGACCAGTCTTGGTGCAGCGCCAGTTGGAACAACTCTTTGTTGAGCTCTGCCCACAACAATGGTAACAGGGGAATCCGCGTGACCAGTGCTGACATGGCCCATGATGTTTCTCGCAGGAGTCTAAGAAGATTGAGAAACAGATTGTTAATGTAGTTTTAAAAATGGTTAAAGGTAGGGTAGGTACGAATGGAGAAACCAGCTCGAGTGCGCTAGAATTTGAAAGTACACAACAGGAACAAATCTGCCCCTTCCTTCAGACATCCTTACAGAGCCCCTCCTCCAACACACACGAGCATGACCAATGAGGGCACGAGATAAGTTTGTGCACAGATGGAAGGCTGACAGGCAGGTAGGCCATCCAGTTATTTTAGCCGGCTCAGGTGATTGGTCGTGCTTTTTACAGCGCCACGGCTTCCACAGATTTATGTATTTATTGTCAAAGCATTCCATTGAATACAACAAAAAGTGTTCTGTACCTACACCACCTTTAACCATGCTAAGATCACAAGATATAAACCCAGTACAGTAAGTGTTGACATTATTGGCAGTATGGTTAAAGGTCATTCGGTCCAACAAGTTATGCTGGTTGTTAGGATCTTAGTTGTTTACCTGTGGTTTGGGCACAGCCGCCTTTGTTGTCTTTTTGGTAACCATATGTATAACTGGAGCAAAGACTTGATGCTTAGTTGGCCCAAATCTCACAATGTCTGCCCAGGAATTGTTGACTGAAAGGAAAACAGTAAAAAAATAAATGGGGTTAAAATTCTTTGAATGTGGTAAACAAATAATGACATTTGAATTATGTCATCTATTCAGCTAAAGTGAACTGTCCACAACTTTGTTCTTAACACACTTTTATTATCAATATAAAAGCATGATCAACTCCAAACAGTGTTAATGGGGTATATTTTACACTTTAGGGTCAAACATACCTTTCATAGATGCCCGTGAAATGCCACTTCTTCTGCGCATTAATGTTGCGCAAATTGGAGTATCCCGTGAGGTGCTCCTCCTCCTCTGGGTTACTTTAGGAGCAACAGGAACAACATCTTCTGCTCCAGGAGATGGTGTGATGATGCGTGACACAGAGAAACGCCCTTGGACACTCGGAGTCAGGGCTGCTGGAGATCCACCGACAGAGGAAGACCTTCCCCTTGCAGCCTTGGGAGAGGGGGTCCTGGATTTGGGTGATTTCTTTGCAGGAGTCTTCTTTTTTGCAGGACTTTCTTCATCTTCAAACTCCAACAAAAAGAACAAGACACGTTTTAAAATACATGAATATGATGTATAACATTGAGAGATGTCTTCACCACAAAGTCTTACCTCTAACAAGCCACTGGCGGATGCTCGTCTCAGGAGGGAGTTCTTGGTTTTGGACACACGCGGTGTTGCACCTTTGCGCAATGGAGAATCAGGAGGAAGACGCTTGTCGAATAATTCAGGACACAGTGTGCTGCCGAAGGAAACACGTTTCCTCTTCATATCTGGTCCGGGCATGTCGGACACGACTTCTCCACTTTTGCGTTTTTTGGACTTCTCTTTCACTAGGGAATGAAATTAACACGATACGTCAGGAAAAATACATCTATTTTCATATGCTTTGATATTTAGTTGAATTCCATAGGAAACTCCAGGTCATTACATTGTTTATTACCTTTCTCTGTTATGGGAGAGGTCTCTTCTTGTTCCTTAGTAACAGCAGGTGTTGCCTCCTTACTTCTTCGTCTCACAGGCGACTCCTCACATGTAAACCTCTGGGGGGGTGTACGGACTCTCTTCTGGGGAGTAGTCTCTTCAGACTGGGCAGCATTTTCAGCTGCTTTCACTTCAGGTGCGGCCATCTCTGTAGAAGGAGTCTGGAAGGACCTTCTCTGCTTCTTAGCAGACTTTGGGGTGGTGTTACCAACATTTTCAGCCTCCTTGGTTTCCTCAGCTACAACAGAGACTTTAGCTTCTTCCTTCTGGGGAGTGCTCGTGTCTTCTGTTGAAATGACAGCTTTGCCCTCATTTTTCCTGACAGAAACAGGTCTTGGAGTGCAAAACCTGGAGGTGGGGGTTTGAAGGACACTGGCAGAAGACTTTCCGAGGGGTCTTCACATCCAGGGACTGTTTGATCATTTGATACAGGTCGCCGAAGGGGGAGGCGGTTTTGCTTTGCTGCAGGCTGCTGTCCTGCTTGGGCTCCACCTCCATGGTTTTATCCAGAGATCGATGGATGTTTTCTTGGTTGGTGCCATCTTTCAGATGAGGGTCTAAAAATAAGCAAAACAGAAAACTTCACATTAAAAACAATTAATAAAATACAAATGTACACTGGCAAGCATTACAAATATTCAAAATAAATGTTGGACAAGAGACCGGAGTTAAGGTAGTGTAGGTAAGAATGGAGAAACCAGCTCGAGTGCAGCCGAAAAAAAATCTGCCCCTTCCTTCAGACTTCCTTACAGAGCCCCTCCTCCAACACACACGAACACGCACATGACCAATGAGGGCACGAGATAAGTTTGTGCACAGGTGGAAGGCTGTTTATTTTAGCTCAGATGATTGGTCGTGCTTTTTACAGCGCCACGGCTTCCACAGATGACATTTTTTATGTATTTATGTCAAAGCATTTCATGTATTCATTGCTATCGGGATGTTAAGAGCATTCCATGGAATATAACAAGTGTTTCTGAAGTGAATTACCTACCCTACCTTTAAATGACTAAACTACCAGAAGCAATGGAGGACAAGGGGAAATCTGATTTTGTATTGATATGCCAGATATTTATTGACCGGGATAAATATTAAAACAAGAACTGTATAATCAATGATTTATTTATCCAATTTCCAAAGCATTTGATCAAAAGTTCTAATTCTGCAACATTATCTTTAAATAAAGCACTTTCAACTTGTTAATGTATAATAACCACAGTCTCACCTGTGGAAACTTCAGTGGAAACCTTGTCCCCAACTTGCTGATCTTGGTGAACCTGAAGAAAATGTAATTAACACATTTATTAAATTAATCAGCAGTGTAGGCAATTTCAAGACATGGGGATGGCTGCAAGGCTTTAGTGCTAAACGATACCAATGGGTAAATTACTTTGAGGGTTTCAGTTAGGCCTCCTCTGGAAGACCTCTTCTTTGGGGTGGGTGCAGGAGGGTACTCAAACCTGTAAGGACAATTCAGAAAGAAATTGTAAGTTACAATAGAAACAGAACTTGCATATGGATGAGATTTAGTTTCCAGAACTCTTGATTGCTTTTTGTCTCTAAATGTGCACTTTAAGAACAGCATCTTTGATTCGGTTTGTGTACTTTCATGATTCTTGCACTTCTCCAGACTGTGCCCACATGGTTTGCATGCAAGCGTTTTAAGTCACTTTGTTTTTAATAAGGTGAGATACTGAAGTGGTAAATTGATTAGGGAAGTATGTGACATCTGTTGGTAGCAGATTATGCCCAACTCTTTGTTTATCGAGTGGACGTTCAAATATAAGGCTTCCTCTTTTTTTACACACTTGAGGATCATATTATTTAAAAGGTCCCCTATTACACTGTTCTTCATCAATATATTATAAGTCTCAGATATATACAAAACATGTCTCTGAAGTGTTTGGGTCCAAACACCAAACAGATCATTGCAGCATTACCCATAATCCCCTCTGTTTCAGCCGTTTCCAAAGTGCTGATTCTCTGTCTGTTACTTTAGATGAAAATAAGGAGCCCCTCCCCACGCCCCTCTGAGAGACGTTTGGTTACAAAGAACTCAATGGTGCTCTAGGAGGAGATTCAGGTGATACGGGGGGGGGGGGGGGTACCTTGGTTGGTGATTGGCTAATGGTTACACAAGCCACAAAATCGTTATGACATAAAGTGGCCAAAATCTGATCCGCTTATTTTCAGACAGGTTTTTATAGAAATGGATCAGGACAAAAAGAGAGAATCTTTGTTCCTGAAACTTTCAGGATCTCTTTCCACAGAGGGGACACATGTTGATGTAGAAGAGACATGAAGAAGTGGATTTTGCACAATAGGTCCCCTTTAAGTGCAAGTGCTGATACTAACTAATTCAGTTTGATCCTGTTAAAATCTCTGGAGGCAACAACTTTCATGCTCACCTGAAAGAGCGATCAATAATGGTTATCACATCTCCGTTCTTCAAACGCTCAGACTGCTGCAAAGCCTCTCCGTTGACACGGGTGGGATTCGTTGAGCTCAAATTAGTCAAAACAACCTGGGAGGGACAAACACAAACAATGCTCAAGCTGTCTGTAGTAACTCAAAGCAACAACAAAAAAGTAGCTAGTCTTTTACTTCCATCTAGGTCAATTACAAACCGAGAATTCAAAAGCAATGTTACTTCTAAATCGACATAATAAGTATATTGACCAAAATATCAATACATCATTTTGCTTAATGCTATTCAAAAACATAAATATATCCAAAATATCGTAGCACGTTAAACAGGGTATCTGCAAATTGTTTAAGTACAAATGCAATGACTTTTATGACCCCTGAAAAGAAAAAAAGAATAGACAACAGTATAAACCGTTACTGAATTTTATTGCATTTGAATATCGGGAAATATTCAGAGCACATTACCCAACATGGCTGCCTTCGCATTAACAAAACAGTATGGCAGTAGACCAATGGAAACCAATATCCCTCTGCACACTCATTCATTCTGCCGCAGATAAAATGTAATACCTCCCCTCCTAAAATTCCAGACCTTTAATATCAAAAAATAAATGTAAAACGTTTAAGACTTTTTAAGGATCCGCGGGGACCCTGATAAAACAGTGTGGACGTGTTTGGAATGCGTCATTACCTCTTTATTTTCATTCAAGTCAATCCTGCAATGCTCCTTGGATACATGAGGAAGCTGAATACGAATATCACACTCGGCCACCCTGCAAGATCACAGAAAATTAAAAGAGTGGTATGTTAGGTGGATTTTCACTAGGTTTACATGCAAGTGGCGCTTGTTCATAGGCAGGAATACAAATAGTCAATGGCTTTAAGATAAAAGGGAACAATAAAGAGTCCCTTGTGCTTGATGCAAGAACAAGAGCAGACAGGCATGCACGATTGTGACGTTGGCAGCTAAGCCCCGCCCCCAGAGTAAAGAGGTTTTTACAGCACATCTGTTGAACTCAACATGAGGCTACACGTAGTAGGGTTAAATCCTACAATGACATGTGCTTTCTGTCGTGACAAATATGCATTTCTTAAGATAATAACTCGTATAATTAGGATGACAAAAGTTAAAAGGAACTTTGAATCTGAAGTCTGACATAGCACACCAACTTTAAATTCACATTTTCGTGATCTTACCTTCCAAACAAGCATGTTCCAGTAAGAGGAAATTCAGTCCCATCTCCTCCACTCCTCTTTATCACGACAATTTTTCCATGCAAAGGCATTTTCGTAACGTTACCTGGGAACATATGCAAACACTAGTGTCAAAACTGCTTAACACACAAAAAAGTACATCTTCTAAATGTACATTTACAGAAAATAAAGCATATTATAGATAGAAGCCTTGAACAAACATGCAACAAAGATCGTATTTTAAAGCTTAACTTTACTTCGAGTGACATAACTGACCGATGCAAGCTATGGATGGTTTTTTGGCAAGCATTATGTTTTTACATTTAGTCGACGTAATTAGATGTAATTGTTGCAATTTAGCAGGTAATCGATTGCGTGACTTTAATTAAAAAACACTGCTGACAATTCTGCGAAACCCCACGTGTAGTTTTGCCACGATGTTGCCATTTTAAATCAGAAATAAAAGTCATTACGACACAATAAACGGTTTTCAGTAACACATTCAACGTCTAGCTAACGACGAATTCAACGTACGTTTAATGGCCTCAGATTGAACGTTTAAAAAAACATTTGAAACGTTAATGTTTTTAAACCTTACCTGTAAGTCCGCTCAAAGTCACTTCAACTTCTGGCAATCCATAAACATCTACCGGGACGTGACACACAGAAATGTTTCTATAATATCACATCAGACTAAACTTATACTGTACCATGACCTACAATGTACACCGACGAATGGCTAACGGAAGCTATGCTACCTACCTAGTAGATCCGTCCCATGACTTCTCTCACCACTTCCATATAGCTGCCTTGGTATCACTCCGCCACATTGCAAACATACAGTAAATAAAGAAATCCCCCGGATTAACTACTGTTTTCTGAAATTATATATACATTTGTTTTATTTTACTTCGTTTTAAAGTTCTTTCTTGTTTTTGGTCTTCATTTTTTAGTAACATTTACATTGTAGGGACTATTTTGTTTACGAATCGGCGGAACGATCTCATTTCAGTAAAGGCAATCTTTTTTGAAAAGGTTTGAAATCCCGCGCGAAGGATTCTGATTGGTTGAAACGTCACAACTCGGTTATAGGGCGGGGTATAATATAGCCCAGATAGGCCAATCACTGGGCTACTTCCAATGTTGTCCTTAGACCATATTTATCATAGACTGTAGATATTTATACAATTTAAAGTCCCGCATTATTTTTTACTTAACCCTTCTGTTGTGTTCGATAACTTGAAACGGGTCACGGGAGACCCGAACACAACATAAGGGAAAATGTACATAATTAAAACATGGAGAGCTTCTTCTGCACACTACCCTAGAATAGTCTATTGGAAGTTATATTACTAAATAGTAAATTATTGATGCATTAATAAAGTATGTTCGTCCCTGTAATGTTGCAGCAGGCAAAGAGGAGCTTATTTAAACACACACACACACACACACACACACACACACACACACACACACACACACACACACACACACACACACACACACACACACACAAATATATCTTTTTTCTCACACTGTATAAACGGCTGTGCCCCAAGGCATTAACAATTGATTGCAACTATAATTTATGATTTTAAATGGCTTTATACCTAAGATTACCCAGGTTTAAAATCAGAATAAGTCGGACAATACATAATGGGAGAAAAACATCTTCTGGCTCATAATTCTGTGCAAAGCCTGTTTCAGGGTCAATAGGTCATTCTAGACATAGGTTGTTAGGTTAGTGCCATCTTTTTTGTGAGTAATCCATTATAGGCCTAAAGGCAAATTGGCCTATAGATTAGTCGGTCTGGGCCTAGTCCACACCATCAATCAAAATTACTCTGGGATGTTTCTTTTAGCTTCCTCTTGACAAGAACTTAAATTATGAACATATTCAGAAAGTAATAACAATATACATATAGTAGGGCTTAACCTCGTACAATAATCTGTTAATCCAGAGCCTGGTTCAGGATGTAAAACGTTTCTTATGTCACTTCTTAAAATGCATTTAATCTACTTTTACTAAACAGTGTGTAAATTGAGCTCGAATGGCAAAACAGGATAATTGTAATAACTATAAAAGAAAGGGACAGTACACAATACAGTTGGCAAACGCTTTACAGTATTTAATTGAGCATGTGTGTCTTTTACTGCATATTAATTAAACTTTCAAATGAAGGATGCATGATTTCTGACTCAAAATGTACACATTATTTACTTGATATTAAGAACAATCATTGTCTGTTATTTATAACGTGAGTGATGATGTGAAAGGTGTAATGCTTTATTTAATTATCAAGAGGGAGCGGTTTACTCTTGTTAGCTGTATAGCTGCGCTACAAGATAAGAAGCTCAAAGGTTTCAAAAAAGTGTTAACAAAGTTGATGACTGCCTCTTCATTTTATCTTAATCGATGCTTATGATGCATGAAAACCTACAGTACAGAGGACCCCTTTGTAGCAGAGAATGACAAATAATTACACAGGAACAACACACACATGTAATATTAAATGTTGGTTTTATTTTAATCTTTTTTTTTTGTTGTTTTGTTTTTTTCCAAAGTCGCTTGATAATCTTGACAAAATTGCAACATATTCCATATTTCTCAAACTGACGGTGTGTCTCTTGCTATTCCAGATTAGCTGTGGAGGGAAAAGTTGTGCGCTGTTCTGGACAGGTGAAGTCCTAAATGATGAAAGCAGCATTGACCGTACAAATAAAAAGAACACATGAACGACTCGGAGAGACTCCACACTGGCATCCTATGTCGTAACGTTGCAGGGTAAGTGTCTCTCTGCACAGGTCCTGGTCTGCCAGGCCGAACAAAAAAACGAGTGAAATAAAATTCAGGGGCTCAGTAGCAGACGTGTGTGTGTGCATCTGTGATAGGAGGGTTAGGGGGGGTGCAGCACAGAAACATAGAACAGGCCAAGCACACAAAATGATTCCTTCCTGAGACATTGGCGTGTGTACAGTAATGATGGTCTAGAAGATGAAACGTGTGTTAACGGTGAAGGCGTTTTGGCGTAAAGTGAGTCACAGGGTGCGAGGTTGCTCTGGATCCGGCAAAAAAGTCACATACTCGTTTCTACCACAGGTTGCCAGATGGGGAACATTTGTGAGGACTTAGTTGACAAACATCACATTTGGGACCTTCACTTGCCTGACCGCTGAGAGAGCAGAGGTATCACTACAATCTATTCTTTTACCATCCACTACAGATTATTGATCCATTCAGAGGCTACTGAAAATCACTTGTGTTTAATACAGTGTGTATGTACACCATTCTTCACATTTGAACTCTCTTTGAAGCTGAGCTGCTGTGGCTCACTTGAACCTGGCCGGCTCCAAGTGACGTCCGGCTCACCATTTTCAGAAAAACACAATTTCTTTCTGCTACACGGCCAAAAAAAAGCTATGCCCCGACTGGAGTGCTACTTTGTCAATCTACTGTATGTAAAACATCTTTTAAAAGTGAGAGGGGGAGGTTTAAATTGTCTGTGAAAGCCACATCCTGAACAGCCAGTGATTGGTTAAGAGTCTGTCCAGTATTTAGTACACAAAACATGAAAGAACTTCCTTCAGTAAAATGTGCTCAAAATGTATTTTCTTGCATCACAAACCTATAAACAAAAACACATAAAAGGTATTCTTAAAAAAAAAAAAAAAATCAGGTGAAGCCTAAAACTCTTCATAGTTTTAAAGAAATGAATACAGCTTATATACACAAACTCAAAGGCTACTTAAAATACACCTTAATAATGAATCTTCATTAATTTGATTTCTTGAAAGGACCTGTGACCATATCATACAACCAAGTTCATACAATCATTTTTTTTCCATTCTCTTGGAAGCAAAAAAAAGAAAAAAGGAAAACAAATCCAACCTGGAATAGTAGGTGATATTCATTGCGACTTGTTTTCTGTGCACATTTGTGTGTGTGTGTGTGTGTGTGTGTGTGTGTGTGTGTGTGTGTGTGTGTGTGTTTGCATGTGTAGACTGGAGAGAAATTTCAACATCTTTTGCTTTTCCTTAATTAGAATAATGTACAAATGTGATAAAACTGAAAGGTCTCTCTCAATACTCTCGATGGGTATGAAAAGATTCAAACAGTGAAGGAGTACAACCATTTCTACTCTCAGAAAACATGTCGTCATTTCAACCTGCCATTCTGTTCCGGACGTGTCCATCACAATAACTTTTTTCTATATATATTTATATATCTTTTGTACGAAATCTGTCTTTTTTAAGTTGGAAAAAGAGAAAAGACCCAGAGTCTTTGAGGAGGGGGGGTCTTTTGACAAGTCCCAAGCTTGCAGTCTGCCTCAGAGTTCAACAAAAAAAAGTGTCTGGTGTTCATCAAGTCAGTCTGAATGAATTGTCCTTGATCATACATCTGTCCCGCGTTGCCCCGCCCACTCTCGATTCCAATCAAAACTGATCGCCACTGCATCCGTTTCCATGAGTCTTTAGGAGAAAGGTGGAGAGGGGAGGAGCAGCAGTGGAGGAGAGAGTGGAGGGAGAAGGGGGGGGGGGGGGGGGGGGGGTCTTCAGCAGTGTTTACGATGTGGTCTCTCAGAGGCGTCCTGTCGCCCCGGCCCGCCCCGGCCTCACCCCCCCTCACATCAGGACGGTGAGGAAAAGGCAGATCAGGAGGTGGGGGGGGGGGGCGTTTGTGTCGTAAGGAGAGGAGGAGGTTGGCTCTGCTGGTGTTCAACAGTCAGGGTCCAGGCCCCCCCCCCCCCTTCACCCCTCTTAAGAACGCAGAGAACATCGTGACGGAAAATTAAAAAAAGGTGGGCCGCTTCTACGGCGATTGTGTGGCGGGACTGCTTTGGGCCGAGCTGGGGGACAGGCTGGGGCTGCAGGAGCCGGGGGGGGCGCCGCTCGCCCGGCTGCTTGCCGCCGCGCTCTCCAGACCTTCTGAGTTCTCCAACATCTCCTGGATGAGGGGGGGCATGGAGCCGGGGATCTCCATCTTCAGGGTGATGACTCGCTCGGCTCCTGCAGGGTGGGGGAGAGACGGGAAAATGTCAGACACCAAAGATCTTACAAAATACATGTTATACATTTTTTTCTGACACAATTTTGATGCCTCCAGCAATTTTGTATGACTCCAATGTTCACTTTACAACAATCTCTGGAACTTATAGCAATTATTTTTTTGACATGTATATAGTGTACTTTATCTGCATTACTTGTATCGCAACATAACCTGCACTATTTATTCTACTCGGCTTCTTCTTGCAGTATTTTCTATATTTTTTAAATATTTTTTTTATTGTTTTACGTCTTATATATAATATGTTGCAATGTTGGAGGAGTCTTGGACTTAAGATTTTCATTGCCATAACTACATTGTAGCTACTGTGCATATGACAATAAAGCCTTTGAATCTTGAATATCGCATGACATGGAGAAAAACAACCAAATCAAATGGATTAAATGTAATTTGATCAACATTTTAAACAAGGTTTCAGTCTAACTGAACAATAATTGAATCAACTTCTTTTTCTAGCGTTATATACACATAAACAGCAGTGACGGACCTTTAGCGCTGATGCTCCTCAGATCGGTGATCTTCATCAGCATCTTGGGGAACATGTGCGGTTTGTGGGGCCTCCTCCTCCTTACGTAAATCTTTAACGCCTCCAGTAGAGGCTCCTGCAGGACGTCCACCTTCTCTGCCTGTTCCAAGTCCTGACGATCTGTGGAGAAACACAGAGTACAGATACTGTCATGATCACAGTCATCCACTAGGTGGTGCTCAAAGACAGAGCCCGGCAGTGCCTCCATACTGCTATTTCACCCAGAGACAAAGTCCAGGGTCCTAAACTGATTATGTCACAGACTGTCAATTGGTACAGAGAATGTGCAATAGGTTTTGAGGAGATGTGCCGTACCTCCACAGAGCAAACAGATGGCGCTGAGCAGCCCCGTCTCTGCGTCGTCCATCTCCAGAGGAAGGAGCTGGTTGGCAAAGGCAAAAACCAGGTCGGTGAGAGGGCCGAAACCTGCGTTGTGCATCTGGGTTCGATTTAGCGTGAGTCCATCTGAGAAAGTCATGGTGTCCTGCTCTGGTGTGTAGCGCGTACAGATCCGGAGTATCTGTGGAAAGCAGAAAGAGAATTGGTTAGAAATTACAACAAACACTTTCATTTAATCTGTTTTGTAATTTTTTTTTAATAGAATGCTGGGGATGGTTTCCTACCAGGATGTCCAGACAGGCGGCCTTTAGCAGAGTGATTTGGTCGGCGATGGTGAGCGTTGTGAAGCCGGGCAGCTGCTTAGCAAACTCCACCGTCTTTATGATGCACTTGGTGGACAGTTCACTGAACTTGTCCCACAGGTTTACGTCCAGAGATACACGTCGTTCTGAGCTGTTACTCTGGAAGGTTGGGGAGAGGGGAGGAAAATGTTTTAGATACTTCCAGTACAGGTGACAATACACAACAGCTAATAAAGGTGAACCACACAGGTACACATGGAGTGTAGTGGTACTGACCGTAGTGTATTTGCCCAGCTGGCACAGGGAGGGAAACGTTTCCTTGTGTGCCTTTCGAACCCGTTCGATCATCCTCTCCGTTTCAGGACTCAGCACGTAGATCTCCATGCACTCCGGCTTCTTGTCATCCTTCTTCTTTTTGTTCCGATCGTTCCTCACTGCTACAGGGGGGACACAAGAGGACATGATGATTACTATGTGGAAATCAAACACAAACATCAGCTCTTGACAAGTGTAAATATCTAAACTTAAATAAAGAGGTTCATACGTTTTTTTTTAGCTACAATTAAAGAAAATCACTGATATAGAAAATAACTATGAGTGACGCACGATACAAAAGTAAGTTCCAACTATTTTTGATTGTTTAAGGACTATTGAATTCAAAAATGGAGAATTTCTGCTTTTTTATTTTCTATATCATACAAAAGACCTTTGAGTTGGAAACTGACAAAACAGAAGATTTAAATGCATCTGTTTGGACCAAAGATAATGGGATAGACATGATTGATTTTTTTCCCAGAGATTTTGTAGAAAGGTTTATCAGTTAATCTAGAAAATAACCATCAGAATAATCAAAAACTACAACAATAGTTGGTTGCACACCTCATACAGAACATGCAGTGGACACCAAACTCATGCGGCCTTCATCTGCTAATTATTAAATATGTTCTTGTCTGAAAAGGTATTGGTACGTGCTAACAACCACACTGGCTTTATGTCCCGCACAGAAACTAGCACAAGGTAAACTGAGATCAGAGGCAGAGTCCTCAGCAGGAGAGGAAGCAAACAGCCTCTCTTATCCTGCACTGCAAGATAAATGTTGTGAGACAGCTCCATCGCAATAGGGCTATTGGATTTTTTTTTTTGAAATAATCCAATGTGGTGTTGCCTCTGGGCGATCAGGCTGAGAATAGTGTGCTCACCCCAAATGACAAAAAACACTAGGCGGGGTGTTTAGCATTGGAATCCCATTACAGCCTCCATCCATTTCTCCTATCCAGACTGGGGTGCAGTTTAGCTATGGCAGGGCAGTGTGTGTGTGTGTGTGTGTGTGTGTGTGTGTGTGTGTGTGTGTGTGTGTGTGTGTGTGTGTGTGTGTGTGTGTGTGTGTGTGTGTGTGTGTGTGTGTGTGTGTGTGTGTGTGTGTGTGTGTGTGTGTGTGTGTGTGTGTGTGTGTGTGTGTGTGTGTTGAGGGTGGGGGGTGGGATGGGTGAGACGGGGTGCTAGTTGATAAATAGTGGTGGGGGATGGAGCCATCCATAAGGCTGACAAATTGCCACAGCTTTCATTAGGGGTCCCGGCTAATCTAATAACATAATATGACAAATATCCTGCCTCTAATGGTTTTAAAAGGGCTCGGCTCCACACCGGAAAAAACCTTCCAGCTCTTTCACTCTTCCTCTCACGTCTCTCTCTCTCTCTCTTGGTTATACAACACACGCTCTCTTTCCTACTCTCATTTCATTCTCACCGCCACACTATCCCCCCTTTCCAAAATTGTATTTCTCGTGCATTAAATCATCCCACTTTCCTAAACTCATCTCTACAAGCCCTCGCATCTCTAACTCCCCTGGAGGTACCTGAATCTCCCCCTAGCAGCTGACCTGAGATCAGATTTTCCTTGTCTTAATCCTAACCTTGACCATTAAGGGTGAGAGCGCTGGGGCTGATGGGAGATCAGTGTCTGCGACAGAGGGGCATGGCCCAGGGCCAGCGAGGGATGCACCACTCGGTGCTGCTCCACATCCATCAGCCCGCAGACAGGCCTCCCTGCCTGGGAGGACATGAAGGGAAGGAGGGGGGCGGGGGCTGGAAGTCTGATGCTGCAGACTGTTATTGCTAAGCACTGCTCACCACAACAAGAAAAGAAGAAGACCCCGCTGTGCAGATGTATTAATGGCAACCGTGTGGTAGGCTAGTGTAGCCCAACAATACATGTTTATATGCAGCAGGAAACAGTGTGGTGAAGTGACACAAAACCCCATTTTATACATTAAAGTGGTATTTTTATGACCTATTTCAATGAAAACAAGCAAAATAAATAAATAAAATGATTCCTTTTACTTTTATGAGCTAATTATGTCTTAGTTAATGAAGGAACTCCCTCTTAGGCAATACTCAGCTTTTGAGTCCAGTCCCATAAAACTGTAGTGCTCTGAAGATATTTGGGCCAGCCCCGCTTGTGGTGCTGATAGTGAATCCTGTTTCCCATGAGGGAAGGAGTGGGGGGGCTGCAACACAGTCGATGTCCAATTAATTCACAAATAAAAGTGGGGCATCCCTAGCGCCCAGACATTACCCGCGCTGACAAATTGGCAGCACAATCATAAGCCGCACAACACAATTTAATGAAGTCATTAAAGAACTATTAGGCCCGACTGACGATCTGTCATGGCGAATTGCCACATGCAATAACTTGGGTTGGGGGGGGGGGGGGTGACTGCAGCGGTGGAGCGAAAATGAAATAAATACTGCCTTTTTTTTTTTTTTATGTGTGTGTGTGGACCCGAATGTGCATTTGGTGTTTGTGTGCGTGCTAACTTGGAGAAATGCATCTTTCAAAACGCATTATGGGAATATGAATGCTAATGGGGCAACTTGCATCCTGGATTGTTTGCGGTTACGTGTTCATAGCATAAAAATGATTTACAAGAGTCTGTGTGTAGCGCGTACAGAATACTGTGACAGCACACACACACTGCCATCACTCAATCACTCGTTCTCATAGTGGATTTCAGCTGCAGTGTGCAGTTAATGGACAATTTCTGTTAGTGCCTTTGTGCGTGTGTGTGTGTGTGTGTGTGTGTGTCTGTATACAAGACAGAGAGAGGTGGGCAGACAGGGATAATTCGTGTGAGGAAAATTAAAGCGTTGGCAGCTCGTCCATCACACAGATTACATTCAATGGAAAGATAAAAATGTCAATGTTCCCCGTGCTCCTGCTGCTCGCAGCGCAGAGCCACCGTCGACAGTGATGAAACTTTCTCCCTCTCCCTGTCCTCCAGCTTCTCCCCCCCCCTGCTCTCTCAACTCTAGATTTTCATTCTCACTCGATACTCTCCGAGCCTTCATCTTCCTCTGCTATCCTTCCTGGCTGATGTTATCCTCCCCTAGTTCTCCATCATTCTTTGCTTCATCTTATTTTACTTTTATTACCTTTTTTTTCTATCGCTGAATAACACCTTCCTCGAGGAACATGTGGGAAACCGTTTTGTGAGGGGGGAGATGATTAAGGGAGGGAGGTACCGAGCTACGGTGGCTGGTCTGAATTCACCGACATAAATTCAGTTTCAAGGATTGTGCTGAACCATAAGCTCTTTCCTTATACACAGCGGAAGAGTTAAAATACAGAGGAATTAAGTTATTTTGGCAGAAATGCTTTTTAATATGTCATCATATATACTCTATGCTGCTTAAAAATCCAGTCATGTTCAACTTGTAGCCTTTAAACAACGTTTATCCACAGAATATATGCTATAAACTGTTAGCATGTCAAGCTAATACTGTTTTTTAACTTTTATTATTATTTAAAATGATTTTTGAGGAGATTTCTTTTATGATATATTGTACATCAATCTTCATTTTGACCATGAGTCTCGAATCACAACGAACTTTGGACTCCTGTCTATAAACTGTTAGCATCTCAAGCTAAATAGTGATTTTAACCTTGTAAGAGTCTAAGTCTTTGTTTTTCCGAGTAGTTTGAAGAGTAAAAACGACCTGGTATGTAAAAATAAATAAAGCAGGGGAAAGGGGTTGGCTACGAGGAAAGTATGCATTTAAAAAAAATCGAAATCTAACAAACTTTATTTTTCTCTCATGATTAATATTGCGCTAACCTTCATTAAGAAGTCTCGGTCGTCTTTAACCACACACTGTCAGGTTGATGATAATGTGGCACCAGGCTTACAGGCGTTTCCCTTGTAACCCTCCACTTGCTCCTAACACCCCCCCCCCCCCTCCCCTCCATGTGATGCCGTCTTGCTTGGCATTGCCACCTGGCAGCAGGCCTGGCACTGTCGTCTGGAGCCGTCTGCCGACACACGCAAGGTCACCCAGGCACCCTCCCGACACGAGCAGGGGGTCCACCTTCTGTGAGACTGAGTGTGGGGTATCTAAGAGTTGCTGTCCGAGTGCATTCTTGTTTTTATTCATATCAGTTTGTGTTTGTCACTTTCCATGTGCATAATTTGTGCAGGAAATTATGCCCAAGCATGCATTTTTGGTGTGTGTGTGTTTTGTGTGTGTGTGGAGAGGCAGAGACTCCCTGCTGGCCCCAGATGGCCGGCCTCTCCTTCCTCACTAGCCCTGACCAGTTTCATTAGGCAAAGTCATCGCCGAGGACACAGAGACAAGCAATCGACACACTGCACAAAATGACGAAACCAGAAAAAGAGATCACAGATCAACCAAAAGCAACCGAGCAAAGACGGCTGGAAATAAATCCGATAATAGTTATTCACTCCTCTATTCCATTCAGAAAACCAATTTGAGCTGTTTTGACTTGTTACGCATTCACCACTAGATGGCTCTCCAACTCCAATTTTCTCCCCCGTTGTGAGCTTTTGTGAGTGTAGAAAAAGATGGCTGCTGTGATCCGTCTAACCATGATTAATGGCCCCATTCAAAGGTAAGGAGCTCAGAGGATAACTTATTTTACTGTAAGCCACAATGCTGTGGCATGGGGAGCGCTCTCTGCTCTCACTGTTGCAGAAAGATGAGGTAAATAGCGGCGGGAAGACAGGAGGCGGAGAGGGATGGAGATATGGAGGCTGTCTGCATTTGCTTATTATCAATATATGTAGTATAACTAATCACTTATCAGTATGTATGTGTACAAATGTGTCTGCACACACAATCTGGTGTAAAAATGATGGTGTGTGTTGATGTCATGTGATGGGGCCTCTGTGAGTTCTGTGCGGTCACACCTCTTCCAATTACTTTATCAAGTCTGACTGCCTGTGTATGTGTTTGTGTGTTTGAGAGTGTGTGTGTGTGTGTTCACACAGCCCCCGGGGTGCAATGATGGGAGCAGACGCCTGCTCTTTCACTCTCGGCAGGTGAGAACATATTCATCACTGAGGCCTGCCAAGCCTGGCGACACCCTGACTGTTATTGCCAGTCTGCATCACGGCTGCCCTTTGTCTGGCTTTTACAGTGGATATACTCGTCAAAGTATGAAAAGAAACAAGCGACTAAAAGCATCAGTGTGTGAGGAAATAGTAACAGCTTTGATTTCACTCCGACTTTGTTTCTGTAAACAACAAAAGGTCACAGTATTCTCAGAAAATAGATAAAAACCGACAGGACGGGGTTTTTAATAAATAATAAATCAACAGTCACTGACAGGATCGCCCCCAAAGCTGATATGTGTTTGCATTATGTAATGTTGGCTTAAGACTTCATTCAGTGGTAACAATTAAGATAACCCCTCTGGGATTAAAACAACCACGATGAGATCTGTGCTTAACCCTTACAGCCATGTGGGAGGAGCAGGGGGTTCTGGGTAAAAACAGTGTTAATACTCACACTCCTTCGACATCCCGACTTCCAGGCACTTCTGCAGCCGACAGTACTGGCAGCGGTTGCGGGTGACTTTGTTAATGATGCAGTTCTTCTCCCGGTGACAAGTGTACACCATGTTCTTCTGGATGCTTCTCCGGAAGAAGCCCTGCGAGACAAAAAAAGACGGAGATGAGACGAGGAGAGAGGACAGGTGTTTGGCGGGGGGGGCGGCTGGCAGAAGAAGTGTGAGGGCAAAAGTAAATAGAGCAGATAAACAGCCAAATGAAATGTGCTTTTCCTGTTGTGTGTGATGCTATGTACTCATTCTTTCATTCAGTGCTTCCTGCAAACTCTTTCCTCATATGTTGCTCATGTACACAATGTTCTTTTCCATCCTGTTCTTTAGAAAACACTCACTTACTTGCAAGGTTAAAAGATGGATATTAAAATGAGGCTGTGCAGAAGGGCAACAGCAATTAAATGGCAATAAACTCACAGACAGTCGAGTCCTTTAAAGGCTTATTGCATTATATAATGTGGACGGAGACTAATAGTCAGTAAACATCTCATGAGGTCGCCCACCTGCTTAGTGACGGACACCACTGATATTATTATTTTGGAGATGTTTCAGGTCCAAAGGGCTTTTTTTGGGCAAAACACACAGGGTTACTCTGTGCCATATAAACGTGGCCTAGTTTACACAGCCAGAAATAAGAGACTCTATATCCAGGCCAAGCTCGTATTATTAGAGAGAAAGAGAGAACATAGCGTTCAAAACAGGAATCCCTCTTTTCCTTTATTTCCCTTTTCAATCCGAGAGGATCAAAGAAAACTGAACAGTTATACAGAGTTGGTCGCTGAGCTGAAATGAGAGATCTTTGTGGAGGCTAGCTTTGTTTTGATTGCACAAAAGCAAGAGAGCAAAGTACCCCTGATAGATAAGATAAAAAGACATACCATGCAACCCCAATAAATCAATGTTCACCTCTGTGACCTCCTCAGCGTGTCAAAATGGAAAAAAAGGTTAATGCAAAGTACTCAGCAAAGCATGGCTCGGAAAATACAGGTCAATACGAGTATCGGTGGGACACAGTGGGGTATGTTTTTGGGTGGGTGGGGCTAGCTAGTAAGAGAGGGAGGTGGGGCGGAGTTTGGTGTGGGAGTTGCCAGGGAGCCCCATCCCATGCCAAGGGATTAGCTCTGCTAGCCGACAGATGGCTGGTGGACCTAAGCCCGCAATTTGTCCCTCCCGGATCACCGGCCCCTCCTCACATCTCTGTCCACCGCCGCGGAATGGAAGTGATTGCGATGAACCAAGAAGAGGAAATGTGTACGGTTTGTCACGTATCTGTTCTATAGTTTCGATTACACTTCCAGCTGGTAGAGGCAATCCTCAGAGGGTCACATCAGCTAACCCTTGTCTGGATTTCATCAAGGCCTACAGCGTCTTTGCACGTAAAAAACGCCCTGCTTTTCACGCATCATTTCTAGTCTAGGAATACAAGGTTTGGTACCTCCTTCTCTGACCTGTGATAACGGCAAAGTGGAGACAACAAAGCTCGTAGTTTGCCGCTAGGTCTCTGTGCTGATGCTGAGGGATAAGTGCGTGGTCTTTGTGTGAGCCTGTGTGCGTGTTTATCATGTCCCCTTTGATCCGCCGTTGCCCTGACCCTGACCCCGGTGTCACAGGGTATTGACCCGCTCCCCCCTCCCGCACCACGAGGCTCAGGTGCCCTCTCGCAGCCCCTCCCTATTGGCTGCCGCTGCCGGCTCGTGGGCTAGTCGATTGTACCTGCCCCTCCCCCCCCCCCCTCTCCTTTTAGGAGTCATTGCTTCCTGTGGCCCTTAAGCCTCTTTTTGTATCACCGCTTAATCCACCCGGCGACAAGAGCCCTCAGAAGGCCTGTCAGCCACCCTGCAGCGCTCAGAGGAGATGAGAGCCTCAAGAAAAGGGGGACAGGGAGAGTGGGGGGTGAAAAAGAGAGGTGAACGGCAACAGTACACACATGATTGCGTGTGTCATGTGCTCTCAAATTCACGCCTGTCTACCTGGTTTGCATTACGGGCCTCGTGCCTTTTATGAGTACTTTGCATCTGTGTGAGGAAATTATTTATTAAGAGGCAAGAAAGGGGGGCGAAGAAGGGTTGGCGAGTTCACAGGGAAGCACAGGAATCCTCTCTTACGTGACTTTCACACTGTGCGCAGATTAAGAGTGCGTTCCCAGCCTCCCGCTGCGTGCATGCATGAGTGTGCGCCTCTATTAGGAAGCAGCTATGGCTAAAGCCCGCACATTAGCAAAGACTGATGCTGGAAAACGCAGCAAATAGCCCACATTCTTGCTAGAAGCGGCGGTTGGGGGATTTCGGAAATATGGTCGCTTCCCTCGCATCGCAAGAAGAAAGATGGCCTGCTGCGCGCTGCGTGCCTCCAAGACAAAAACATAAACATGAGGGGGCGGGCATGCATATTTAATGTTAAAGTGTTGATATCTGGAGGGGGAAAGAAGTGCAATGCCGGTGAGTATACGCGGGCGGTAGAACTTAAACAACAAACGATCGAGCTGCTGTCTCCAAGTAGCAGAGCGCAACTTCCCCCTCCTGTTTCCTCTGTTCGCTGCAGCCCCCAGGAAATGCCTTTGTAGTTTGGCACGCAGCTAACCCCCGATTTACCCCAGTCTCAGATGAGACATTCATATACATCCACATGCCTGTACTGTTGAATTATTAAGTACGCTGTGCCAAGTCATCTCCTCTGAAGTCAGATATAGAGAAGGCATCCTGAATTTTTCAAATTAGCACTGCGGCTGTTCAGTGGGCGGACAGAAGGTTCATGGACAGGGGACGAGCTGCTGATGCTAGCTAGCTGTTAAACAGGGGATATTTTTGTAGTTTAGCCAACATTCCTAATGATTATAATAGCACTAACGGACTGAATTGTTGCGTTTAATCCTGGATTAGAGTTTAAACCTTCCAGGGCGCAGAGAGCATGTCATCAACTGGTGATAAAACTTCTCAATCCAGTTGTGTGTCATTCTTATAAAACAGCGTCTGAATTAAGACAGCCCTATCCGTAATGCACATAGCCCGAAAAAGCTCATTACAATGTGAATTGTGAGAACATTTCTGAGCCGTCAGAGAGAACAATGCGGTGATCGGGAAGGACAAACACCTAATTACTCAAGTGTACAGTTCCTCTTTTGTTTACACTACTCCAATGTTTATCACACTGTGGCAGAGTTTTTACCTACCAATAACAAGTGTTATATTGTGGTTTTTAATGTGTTTGAAATGCCTCATTTGTCTTTAATAGACCTTAATCACAAAACGTTACATACAGGTGTTAAGTGACCAATGGCTACTACAACTACACAACCTCTGCTTGAGGTGACATGAGGTCGATTTAACACAGACACTAACCGCATAACAGATTTCATGCTTCTATATTAGTCTAACACATACAGGTGGCTATTAGACAATGAGGAGCACTGTCAAGGGGAAACAATAAAAGCACCTTGGGGCTCAAATAACTTCTGCACACCTTTTGAAATCAAAAGGAATGCTTCTAAAAACACGTAAGCACCTGAAATAAAAAACGTTCAAAAAAGTCAGGTTTCCCACGGCCACATTTCCTGCCTGTGCCTGTTTTGAAACACGGGTTAAGAAACACAACTTTGAAATCAGATTACGTTGGAAAGTTTCATCACAAATCATGATGACACTGATTTATCTAGTGTCGATAGGGAGGGTTTCCAGTAACCTGATAAAAACTGAGTATGGAATTTTTTGTGCAAAAATAAGGTTGATAGGAATGTATTTTTTAAAAACAAGATATCAGAAATCTAGAGGATATCATTAGCAGATTTTTAAAGAATCCGCAGGAGCTCATGGAGCAGAACAGCCAGCAGCGGTTTGGCCGACCCTATAAAACAGCACAGGGGTCAGCTTTTACTAACTTAGTTAACTTTTTATAAGTCTCGCTTTGGGAGCAGGTTGAGTTTCATGGAGCTCAGTCAGAGGGTTTGTGTTAAAGGGTTAAGTGTTTGTCTGTATGAATCCTTGCTTTCCTGTGCCCTGGTCCCTTTGTGCATTCTTTACCCATTTCCCCTCCCCCTATGTGAGCTGACCGTCTTTTTTTTGGTGTCAATGAGTTCAACTGTGGCCCCTGTACCCGTCAGCCTAATCTGCTGCCCCTTCAACCATCCCCACTTCCCTCTTTATAGATTTTTAATGCATGCCAGAGCACCGTCTGCTCTCTTTATCTCACTCAGAGCAATCTTTGTATCATTTTGTCTGCATTTCCACATCCTTTTTAAGTTCCTTCCCTTCCTTATTGTTTTTTTTTTTTTTTACACTGCTGCTGCCTTCTTTAGTAAGGTTTTTTCTCTCTGCTCTACCCCCTTTCCTTCCTGCACATATGGCAGCACACACACACCCCAGTATTGGCTGCACAGTCGATAAGTCAAAGGGTCTAGCAGGCACCTGTCACCCACAGCACCACCCTGCCTGCCTTCATCAAACCACTCCCTAATTCTGCTACACAGTCTGTTGTTGGGAGAAAAACGATATTTTCTGTTTGGGTTAACACTCCTCAAATCCTATGTCTGTGAATTCAAGAATGCATGATCGCTATGCAAAAGACAAAACAAGATGGTTTACTCAAGTATTTATCCATCTATCTATCTAAAATATTGACTTTGTGGATGTATGATATTCACACCTGGCTGTTGGATTACATTTCCACACAATATCCCCTATAGTTACACAACTCTGGCTCTGCGCCTTGGGGGAAGCGAGATAAAGACGACTGTGTGCTCATTCTAGCAGGAAAGCATGCAGGCAGCAACTATCAACTGATAACGGAGCAGATGGGGGGGGGGGTATAAGGCCTCTTCAGACCCTGTATAACATGGCTGTATTGATACCATGTGGACACGTAAGCAGAGTTGATACGAGCGAACCTACAAGGCTGGCAGTCTCACATACTGTCTGTGATTAGACGCCATCATAAGCTCTTTACAATATGCCATAGGTTGTGAAAGAGGCATGTTAACCAGGTCAAATTGATGATTAGGTAACTTGAAAACGAAGTCACATTCATATGTATAGTTTCTTATTCTTATGCATATCTATATATTTAGACACCATACTCTACCCTGCTGTTTAAACATCATATTTAATTTTAGTTTTATCATGCATTTTTTTCTGAGACAGGAATTTTGTTACGTTTCTCCAAAAAAATGATGCTAGTTTTTATCTCATATGTTTGTTTATATGTATAGTTCCTTAATATGTAGGTGTGGAGAGCTGAGCGCAGTGCAACTGCCCGTTATACTGTACATATGACAATAAAATATCTTCAATCTTGAATCAAATGATGAAGTTTTGACCCAACATTAAATTCCAGCGTTAAACCTCGAAAAACCCCAAAAGGATGTGAAATACTCAAAATGACGTGCCTTATCATTTTCATCATCGGAGTTTAGCCTGTGAAGTTTCCCCCCCACCCTTATAAATCACACGAAGGTTACAGGATTGACGAAACATCTTGCTTGCTTGGCAGATTCACAGGAAGGCCGGAGTCTCACCTTGCAGCCTTCACAGGCGCTGACACCATAGTGGTACCCTGAGGACTTGTCCTGGCACACAAAGCAGGGCTTGTAGATGCGGGGCGGCGGCGGAGGCGAGGGCGGGCTTGGCACTATCTCTTCTGAGCTGGTACTCTGGGTCTCTATCGCTGTGGAGAGGAAAGAGCAACAAGAAAGAGGGGGGGGGGGGTTAGTGAACACTATCAGATGGAGCGCTGACAGACACGAGGCCTTAATCGATATCAGTTGGACAAACACAGAATCACACACACACACAGATCTTAAACAACTCAGACTGCTGACAACATCCAATACAAATCACTAGAGGGGAAGTTAATGGATTTGTGTTTAAAGATACAAAAACTGCAAAGGGCAAGGGCAACTTTTTGGTTTTTAGATCTGCTACAGGAAAGACTTAGAACAAACAGACGTTTTTTAAAATGCACTGCTTAAATGATGTATTGTGTGTACGAGTGTTATATCGAGGGTCCAAAGACAGGTTTCTCCTCTTATACACGCCATTGTGCTTTCATGTATTTATAGAAAGTAGAACGTACAAGGTGATGTCTGTTAAAGAAGATTAAAAATCCCCACAGATAGTATTTAAAAAGAAAAAAATAATTATATTTAAGAGGCTGAAACAACATGTCAATTTATCGACAGAAAAGCAGTGCTCTTCTGCAGGGTTAAGCATAATTATCACTGCTTCTGACCAAGAAAAGCATATCTTTGTTTACTCTCCCCGACCGAACACACACCTCAGTCCCTCTTATTCAATATCCAGTAAACAGAGAGAGGCCGCTCCGTCTTCATCCAATAAGCAGCACTAATATGACAACCCGAACAACAAGCAGGCTCCTGTATTCTGTAGGCTTGTGCATAGTAAACAAAGGCAGTCCAGGATTGTTGGGAAGTCACCTGCTGTTTGCCTCGTGTAATATGTATTGGACTTTGACCTCAATATCCTGTGTGTTACAAAACAAAGCTCTTTAATCAAACATAAAAACACACAGTCACAGCGGTGACCTGCACCCTGGGGCCTATGGCTGACTAAATAAGTATATAATCCCTTTTTTTGAACGGTGGATTTATGAGCTAGCATGTGTGTCCCAATTGCATGGAGTTTTGTAATGTTAGAATTCCTCAGTTTAGATATCCAAACAAAGCTAAACCTTCCATTTTTTCCATTAAAACGCACCATTGTTGTTGGCTGTCACACAGATTCAACAGCTTTTGCTATTTACAGTGCAAACATTACATTTTGACGCTTTTATCCAAAGCGACTGGCAATAGGTGCATTCAATTATGAGGATACAAACTCAAGAAAAGCAAGAATTCCTTAAATAAATTAGCTTAAAATAAGACAAACCTTCCTAAGTGCTACAAACAGATTGTAGTTGCAGTCTAAACCTGTGTTTTCAGTCTGTGATGTAAGATGTGTTGACTACTTTCTGCTTCACTGATTTCAATTGAGAGTTGGGGAGTTCCACTTATTCGGAGCAACATAACATCTTGAGGGGAACTCTCAGGGAGAAGCAAGCTGATTGGCTGAAGCAGAGCAAAGTGCTTGGGTGTATGATTTGACCATATCCTGGATGTCGGAAGAGCTAGGAAGTCCAGCTAGAGAGCTAAATCCTTCCACATACAGGAATATGTGGTCATCATTGCTCCACCCAGCATCATCAGCTCAACAGCAGAGGGATTGGGAAGGTTGACAAGCAGCTCAGCGTGTAAATAAGCCATCTATATTTAACAGATTGGGCTGGTTCAGCAGGCCGTAGTGCAGCTGGGAACAAATGCTCCATGTGACGGCACCGCAGACAAACACTTCCTGACACTACACACACACACCTCTAATCGAGCTGCACACTGGGCAATATTAAGCCAGGGTGAAGTTTTTTACACACACACACACACACACACACACACACACACACACACACACACACACACACACACACACACACACACACACACACACACACACACACACACACACACACACACACACACACACACACACACACACACACACACACACACACACACACACACACACACACACACACACACACACACACCACACACACACACACACACACACACACACACACACACACACACACACACACACACACACACACACACACACACACACACACACACACACACACACACACACACACACACACACACACACACACACACACACACACACACACACACACCCTTTTATAGTGCCTATGTGCTGGTCTCAGCTTGCCAATCTCCCTGTGCATGCAGCAGATGGTGCAAGGGAAGATTACATTCACAACAACCAAAATAAACCAACCTGATGCCCAGATATGTTCAAGGCTTCCTGGAAAAAATAACAGATACAAGCACGGTACACCAAAATCCAACCTCTGCAAAGCCTGCCTGTTATTATTCAAGTGGGGTTTCAAGTGACGTGTGACAGTAAAGCTCTCGGCAATAAAGCTTGCATTGCAACACCTAACAGTGACACCTAATCAGAGCCGGGGATATTAAAACATTTCATTTATGAGGCCCAGATGTCATGTGCCACTTTGACGCCAGCCACAACCTCTCATGATCTCGGTGTAAATAGGTCAATGTGGGATAGAGGGTGAAACGTGGGACCACAGCCTGGAGTGACACACTTATGGAACAGAGATGCTTTTGTGAAATAAATGTTTTTGACGGGAAGAAGGAAGGAAATGAAGTGATGAAAGCAGGGAGGCACACAAAGACAGAAAACCACCATGCCATTGAGCAATAAATAAAGAGAAACACACACAAACTGATGAAGTGAGACTCATCAAGTTCGTCTAAGACACACAGAGCTGTCAGGTTTTTACTTACAGCTCAGAAAACTACGAATAGGAATATTTTTGAAACTAGGAAAGGAGTGATACGATTGAGACGGGGTGTCGAAATGTTCTCATAAACAAGAATTATACTATTTTCCAGCAAAGAGAGTTATGCATATGGCAGTAAGAAGACAGTTATATTGCTGTGGTTAAAAAGGGAAAGATATGAGGCGATTTTGTGTGAAAGCTAGTGAAAAAGGGCATCTTCTGCATCTCAATGCCATTTTGATTGGAGTCACTATGGGTCATGTTAGTTCATGCCACTTGGCCATGATGTCACCACACTCACATCAAACAAATTCAACTTAAACAAAGCAGCTCTTACGTAACATGGCATATTTTTCTCATTAGCAAAGAACCATTCAGAGTTTTCTGCGCTCTTCTGCCTCAGTTGATGCGGACTGATTACGGCCTTGCGTTATTATTAGTGTGGCCACAGAGCTATTCATCCATGTTAAAGCTTACTTCTGTAGAACGCATAGACACATATGTGCCACACACATTTACGAGTAAACATGAAAATGGCACTCATGCCTACATATTTATAGGGCTTTCCCAGAGTCATTTAAAAAGCCTCAACGCTTGGACACACAGCGCATAAACACACACACAGAATGCACAGTCTTAATGAGAGCACCCATGGAAATCTGGGACACGAGGACAAGAGTCTGTGAGGGGGCTGGCGACTGTAATTAAATACAATGGCTGGCTTCTGGAGCCCTGTCAGGCTGAGGCATGGAGCGAGACAATGGCAGGCCTGTGGACAGCGAGGCAGAGGGGCTCGGCAGAGAGGACAGAGCTACTTAACCCCTCAGCAGCCCTCTCCGGGCACTATTCAACACCAGCCCGCATCCAAGCCCTGATCAACACCAACCATCATACAAGCATGGCTATTGTGCGAAATCCACAAAATCATACGCACAAACACTGGAAAAAGTGACTCACGCTGGCCTGGAGGGCTTCCTTCCATCTCCTTGCAACATATTAACACTGGGAATGTGTGGGAAGGTTTTCGGGTCCTCAACCAGTGATGTTGAGTAACTAAGTAGATTTACTTTGAATTTAATCTTTATTTCAATTTTTCACTATTTGTTCTTCTAATATCTGCACCTTTACCAGCTTTGATAACACTTGAATGCATCAATAATAATCAAAACATATAATATATATTATTCTGAAATGGGCCAATCTGCAGAATAAGTAGTTTTGGTACTTTAAGTATATTTTGATGCCAATACTTGAGTAACATTTTGATTGCAGGACTCATACTCGTGTAACAGAGTATTCCTACACTCTGGTACTTCTACTTTGAGTACTTTTCCCACCTCTGCCCTCAACAGCCTGCAAAGACACCACGGTAACTAATACTCGAGATACAGCTAGAATATCATTCCTTTAGCCAAGGGAGGGGAACATGAAGAGACAATAACATGCCCCTACGCCAGTGGTTCTCAAACTTTTTCTGTCAGGCCCCCCCTTTGGAGAAAAAAAAAAAGTCGGGCCCCCCCAACACACATAGTCAGGCTCAGTGGCGGCGCCAGAGACTTCTTTTGGGGGTGCTGTGGGGTAGCTTGACGTTTCATAGAGGGTGCTCAAACATTTAGGGTTTCCCATTAATGTACCGGGCGCTACAGTGGAATGTTCTACTGCAACACTCTCCACACGCACATACACAGTGTTCCCGCAACTGTTACAACGAAGGCTCGATAATCAGCTCACGGCATATAGGTGTAAGCAGGGGTAAAGTGCTATTTTTATAGGTGGTGTGTGGATACATTGAGAGCAAAATGAAGAGATCTATGGATACCTCTCAACACCCAGATGAAACGGAACTGTAAACAGATGTACTTTTTCTTTATGGATATTTTACAAATCACCCTTTTAAACTTTTTTTTTTTTTTAATATCATATAGTATTTCATACCTGTTTTCCATTTATTCTCTTATTTTTGTATAACTATAATGATCATATAAATGTGTGCCTCGGAAATCATTGTTTACATTAATGGTGACCAAAACGTTTGAGACCCACTGAGATAACAATGAAAGAGTCCTTTAGTTCACTGAGCCTCTCAGTCTGACAGGAGAGGACTCTCCTCCACTTTGTTGTTGAAAAAACTCCTTATATCCGTTAGCGTAGCTCGCTAGCACCAGAAGCTAAGAACAACGATCTCCGGTACCGGTGCGCTCTCTCTCTCTCGCGCGCACACAAAATGGCTCGTTCCACACACACAGAGACCCAGACGTAATAGTACTGTACTGTATCATATTATTTTCGAA